GATCCTCACCTGACTGACAAAGGCTCTGTGCTTTCTATCATGGGGAAGAGTGTTAAGTGTCCAGGATGTCTCTGAGGCTGACTCAAGAGATGAAGGTTGATTTCTCTGTAATACACACTGAGCTTGTGACCAATTTACATCTGAGATTTCTGGTGCCACAAAGAAAATTCTGCAAAAACATGCAAACCTTTACAACATTGCTGGGCTAAGAATGATTCAGAGAATCCCATCACTCACTGCTGCAATACGAAGCTCTTCCAGAACGAAGCATGGCAGCAGTTTTAATCAGCACATAGATCAGCTCTTTAGAATTAGCAATAAAGTAAAATGTCAAACTGTAATACCACAGGGAACTTCGGAAGACAAAATGTAACTCATTACCACAATTATTTCAGCAGAATGAAAACTATGAAATATTGATCCCAAAGTAAGAAATATGAGAACAAGGGAAAGACAAAACTTTGGGGAATAATCTCACCTTTCTGATCAGAAGCAAACAGTAAGAGAAATGCATTTAGAGAACCTCATTCAGGAGCTGACACAGGTCTGCAAGTGAGTCAGAAATTGGGATGAAACCACTCATAGCTTTGTGAACAGATTTGACTGAGGTGAAGGTTTTCTCTCTGCAGTTCTCCTCTGCCCTCAGTTTTCAGGATTGCTGCACACTCTCACTGCACTGTTTGCATCCTGAGCTTTCCTGCACTCACACCACTAGATCATCAGCAAACCACCCAAATACAGCACAACCAAACCTGATCAATGGGATGGACCTCACAACTCTGTGTTATGTGTTTCTAAACTCTAACAAAAAGGCTCAAATTTCCAGTTACATATTTCCTTCTCTGAGGGCTTTGAGTGTTTTCAGATCTTTTCTGATCATCCAACCAGACACACACACTATTTACTTAAGGATATATTTTTCCCATGACCTTACAGAGTCACTTCTCTGTCATGGGGAGTTTGTGGAAGGAAGTTTGTTAGAAGTGAAACATGAGGAAGTACAATAAAGCCTATTTACCCAACAGGAGGGAAAAATGAGTCCAACAGCACAGAAGTATTATATGAAATAAAAACCAGAATTTGAGCCTCTCTGCAGCCTCGTAACAAACTTGAGATAGGCTGTGGTGGTGCCTGGGCAGACTGTCCTCTCTCCTGTGCAGTGTCTGATCAGACCTTTAGGACTTCAGTGGAGTAATAATAACAAAAAAGCAAATGGAGTGAGATTTCCATGGAAACTTGGAAAGAGATGCAACATTATTTGCTGTAAGCCTTGGCCTGCGAATGGAAAATTTTCTGGTTTACACAGATCTCAGCTATTATTTTCTTTGCAGTGCAAGTTTGGGCCAAATATTTTCTGTCATATTAAAGATGCAAATAGTCAGTTTTATTTTCTGTCCAGAACAACTGTGCACAAAAGCTTCAGAAGCTGCAGGAAAATGTCTAATATTTATCTTTCCATGAACTCAAAACACATACTAGAAAAAAAAAAGAATAATTTGGGCTTCCTTTTTGCTGCTTCTCTTCAGAAAGTGAAAGCAGCCTAGAAAACACCTCCTGTTTATATGCAATGTCACAGACTAGTAGACAGCCAGAGCATTGGCAGATGTGCCCAATGTTAATGGGAGCTTAACTTACAAGAAAGTCCATTGTTAAAGTACAAAAGATGATAAAAATGTACCCAAAGCACAGAGTTTACATTACCAGTTATAGAATTAATGAAGTGGCTTTTATCTTACATGAGTTTCAGACCTCAGTCTCTTATATGCAATGTCACAGACTAGTAGACAGCCAGAGCATTGGCAGATGTGCCCAATGTTAATGGGAGCTTAACTTACAAGAAAGTCCATTGTTAAAGTACAAAAGATGATAAAAATGTACCCAAAGCACAGAGTTTACATTACCAGTTATAGAATTAATGAAGTGGCTTTTATCTTACATGAGTTTCAGACCTCAGTCTCTTGCTACTCCTTCCCAGCAGCTTTTTTTATAATTATGACAGTCCAGAAATTAACTTGGAACAATACAAGCCCTAGTTCTGAGCTGAGCTGCTCCAAGCATTAAGCCTCATGTGGGAATGGGAACAAAAGTGGACTGTAAAACTTTTCTTCCCTCAAAGCAGCTGTTCAGCTGGAGCAGTGGTGGAGCTATGACAGTGACACACCAGCTCAGGGGACACCTCTGCAGATCTGGAGCCTGAGCTGCACCAGACACAAGCAGGAAGAGCCCAGTGCTCTAATCTAAACTAGTCTGGAGCATGTCTGATGCTCATCTGCTCAGCAGCAGGAACTGGTGTCCCTTCCCACCCCTGGACATGCCTCTACAGCAAAGAACTTTTCTGCAGGAGATTCATGTGGGCCCCAGATCTCTAGGGCTAAAACGTGGGTACAGTTTGGGACCATATTTGGGCAGATTTGAGTTGTCTTTAACAGAGAACAAACACAGCGACAAACACCACCAAACACACCTCCTGAAGGACCACAAAGCAGTTGTGTGATAGAGTCTGCACTGATCCAGCCCTGGGAATCCTGGATATGCTTGAGAGAGTCATTGTTTAAGGCAAGGCACTGCTTAATAAGGATTTGGTCACAGAATTCATCATGACTGAGGCTTTCTCTTCACATGCAATTCAAAATGTCATGTGGATGTTATACCTGTCTGGCTAAGACAGCTGCCAGAGCAAGTCAGACCCTTGGCTTTTCTAATCTATTTCCCCTTTTACATCTTGAAAATTCTACTCACTCACTTGTAGATCATGCAAAGAAAGAGGAAGCAGCATGACTCAGCTCCACACTACAATGGCTGGAGCAGATCCAGGCCTAGCAATCCTTTGGGCTTTCCTTACCAAAACACAAAGCTGCAGCTTGGATAATGTAAAGCACTGAGTGTTTGTGTAAGCGATGCTCGATGGGCAGCAGGCCAGCAGCACTCCCCAAGCAATGTGCTAGCTCTTTACATCGAGGGAAAATTCTCTTCTGAAGAGTTTAGAAGGGAACAAAAAAGCCAAAGGGCTCTGATCTTAAAACAGTGCCTACAGAAGATAAAATGCTAAGGAGGAAGAGCCTCCTGAGCTGTATGCTGTAGACATGAATTTATATCGAAATCTAGCAGTAGATAATATATTAATTTAGCAAGTTTCACATCATCTAATCTGTAAATTACAGGAGTCATTAACAGAGACATAGGAAAGTTACTGACTCCAAGGAATCCAGGAACTCTGAGTGAGTTTCAAGAATGCTGAGGCCCTGAGCTTTGCCTAAACTGCTGGAAAACAATATCTAAAAATCAGCTACTCTAAAATTTCGGTGTCGTCCAGAAACGATTCCTAACCCTTCACCATTTTTCTAACACCTGACCCACACATTTTTCATAAAGAGCATCCACATGGTGTTATAGCACAAATAATGCACTGTAAACACACTTCATTTTGCTATGCAAACAAGATCTGAGCAAAATGCAGCAAGAACTTCACTCCTCAAAAGCACAACTAAGTTAGAGGATTTGATGGTTATCCCACAGCAATCCAACTTCAGAGATAAAGACCTCAAATCTAAACCTGTTTCTTAGAACAATGATGTATATTCTGGTCCAGCCCTGGGCAATGGGATGGATTTGTCATTTCAGGCACTGCATTCACAGGGGGAAATCACCTCTCAGTCATTACTTGCATAAATGAGTGTAATACAAGGTAAGAAACAGGCATGATCCAAGGTATTTCTGGGAAATGACCCCCACTTTCCTCCCAGGGGTGAGCAAACCAAAGATTTGCTTGCAGAAAGTAGCCCTTTGGGCTGTGTACATGGTGGGGTGACCGAGCAGCAGCAGAACTTGCATCACACACTAACCAACCTCACATTGCGTTAGAGGATGAAAGGCCAAGTTGGCTCCTGGGCCCTGTGCTCACTTCAAAGGGTGGTTCACTGAGCACACTTCATGCTCAGCTAAGTTTAGCAGCTTTTTTCCTTATTCCTCCTCAAAATGTTTTGGGCATTGTCGTATGCTTGTACTACAGAACTTGCAGTTATCCAAAAGCAGCTCATGAGAAGTGAGCGGAAACATCTCTTTTCATTCCAAAGGAAAAAAAACTCCTATGCTGTTTTCCTAAGTGAGCTGAAAACTTGGAGAGAAACCTAAAGCTAAAAAAAGCAAAGAACTCAAGAAGATTCATATTCTGGACTGTGGTTTCTGTTGCCTTAGCTCAAGGGAAAATATGTTCCTGGGAAAAGGGCCTGCCTGAAGCCAGATTTTTTTCAACTCTGACTTTTCTAGTTGGCTTGGATTTGAATCAATACGCTGCTATTATTTCTTCATACACAGAAATATTCTTTATGGATTGTGTGATGGTTGTTTACAAGTGAAACAACCTCTTGTACCTAGCAATCCTAGGCCCTGACAATGTTAGCTCCAAGTTTCAGTGAGTCAAAGCATTGAAGACAGTTCCTGAACAAAGTGTCAGCTCTGTCACCTACCTCTGCAGCTCCACACAACTAAGGAAAACAACACCACACCTTAGAGAAACATGGCTTAATTTTGAAGTATTGTGGACTGTCTTCAGCACTGCAATTCACTTTTGTCTTTCTCCAGGAAAGCAGATTATAAACATAATTGAATTTCACACTAACCCTGTAAAGACCAACCTACAGACAAACCTGCCACAGGCAATTTGGAGATCTGGGACTGTCTGTGTAACACTGCAACAAGTTGTTATACAACCAAATATGACCATGCTGCCCAAACACAATGTGCCAGACCCCACAAGTGTGGTTATTACTCTGAATGCTGTATCCACAGAGCTTAACTTGGTGATTATGATCTCCATTATGAGCTTGAATTGTCTTTTGCATTAATCAGATTTTGGTTAAGAATGAAAAATATTTAATATGTTCTTTTGAGATTCCTCAAGGCTTTTTAGAATGATACAATAAGCTTTACTGAAGGTTAAAATGAACTTTACCCCTACTTAAAACTGCAGTGGAATTATGCTGGAAGTGAAAACCAGTTACCTGTGATCGATGACTGTGACGTCGGACGAAGGAATCCCCAGGAGGCCACAGCTCTGCTCCAGCTCCTTCTTACGAATCTCTCCTTGCTTGTAGTAATTGCCTGAAAACAGCAAACACAGCAACACCATCTCAGCTTGGGTTTGCTTGGAAGGGATTCCTCTTTTGTTTCTCAAAGCATCAAGCAAGAGCATCACTAAGAGGCATCAGCTTAGGAACAGACACATTGCAAGGGCCAAAATCCATTGCTGTTACCTGAGCAACACCCAAGGGGAAAATGCTGAGGCAAAGTGCTGCCCACCTCGACTCCATCCCCCCCTGTTATGCCCTGAGTGTGGCTCACAGCTGTGCATAGGCTGATTTGACAAGGACATGAGAAATTGCCATGTCTGATCAGATCGAGGGCTCCAACCAGCCCTGCATCCTCTTCCTCCTTCCATTCAGAGAAAATTTAGGCAGAATATGGCAAGACTGCAAAGAACTTATGGAGCCAAAAGAAGATAGGAAAGCTAATTGAGATAAAGAAGTTGGGAAAAGTTGTAACAGAGACCAATGACTAGTAGGGAAATGGGATTCATTATCTTAAAACATTGTCTCCTTCTTCACTCAATTATTTTCTTCTCATCTTGCCCTGACATTCCCTCATTTCTTCTTGGCATCAGCCATGCAAAGTCCATGCCAGAGCTGTGATGCCCCTTCCAGCATGCTGCTCTATGCAGGGCAGTACTTGCAGGCCAATTTTTACTTTGAAGCAATAAAATGAAAAAAAAATACAGTTGAGTATTAATGTGATTCAAGCCTGCAGTCAGCTGTCTTGAATTACACTAGAACTTCTTATTGTTGTGGTTGTGAGTCATCCAAATGTAGCATTTCTCTGGAGCAGTGTTGCAATCTGAGCCATCACTACCAAGCTTTGTACAATTTTCAAAGAGTGAAAGAGTAACTAGAAAGAAAAAAGCCTCTTCCTGCAGCCTGGGAGTGAATGGCTCTAGGAGACTGACAGACTCCGGGTTTGCTGAGGAACACGTCAGCTCAGCAGTGTCAGCCTTAGACTGCAAGTTCCAGTTCAGCAGAACTAATGGAAGTGGCACCTTCACTGGATGGATTGCATGAGTACAGCAGGATTTATTTCAGGCTGGTTTTTACCAGGCCATTAACAACACAAGTGTTTGAAGGTAACAGCCGTGTAAGAGCTGACTGCAGGTGAGGTTGCATCCAAATAGTATCTCTGTTCTCAAAATCCCTTACTGCTACTGAGCTCAAAGGAACAGATCCTCAGCTTGAGAACTGTGTCAGGATATCAGGAATATCTAAATGCTGACAGGAAAAAATGGGAAGCTACTGAGAGCAAAACCAGCTTTCAGCTGATGCTGCTGGACTTCACGCATGGAGCACTCACAACAGAGTCAGCTACTCCAGAGAGCAAAGCACAGTTATACTGAGTAATTCAATCAAAGATTATTCAGTGGAAAAGAGTGATGCTGTAATTCTAATCCACTTCTAAGTCATTTTGATTGATACCTGAAAACTGCAAGTACAATGGTTTTTAAGTAACCATTTTGTCTCGGTGTTACAATCTGAAGAGTCTTTGATCAACTCACTTGTCATCATCAATCACACAAACAATGAGAGGATGAACCATCTGAATCACCCAAAAGACTAATAAGAGGCACAAAAAAAAAAGCTTTCCTACATGGGCTGCTTGTTCTGTTATGAAGACACACAAGTGAGTACCTAGAAGGCAACATCAGACACACTTAATGCCTCATGTTACTGAATCAGGAGGAAAGAAAACAGAAATTTGAACAAAATGAACAGAAGCACAACACTTCTTTGGAAAGTACTCTACCAGCAGCAGTGCATTAGTCCCCAAAACTGAAATGGCAGAGTTGCACTTCAGTAATCTCTTCATAACTGTGAAACAGCCAAACGAGATCCACAGAGCTTTGTCCCTCAGCAGAGACAACTGAAAGCTCTGCAGTAAATCTTGAATGGGAGGTGCAGAGCCATCAGTGGAGCCAACACACCACTGGACTTCAACAATAGCTTAATACCCATCTCCTCACCTCCATGGCCTGTCATGACAGAAAGCTTTGGGAACAACAGAAAAGTTGGCAGTGAGTTAGTTGGAACTTCCAAAAGCACAGAGAGCTCTTTGCCCAAATGTGAGTAGCTCCTGGTGTAAGTTGTGTTTGTAGCCTAAGATACTTCTCTGCACAAACACAAAAAATGTTTAGTTTTCACTGTGATTTCACTCATGAATTCTGGTACAGCAATATGGGCTGAAAGATCAATTCAAATGAGGTTGTTTCCTATACACAAAAATCCTGAACAATGGAATAACTGATTAGATATTGGGAAAAAAACAATCTAGAGCTTCAGTAGAACATGAGAAGAACAGAAAAGTGCCACATGTTGTGAAAATTTCTTGTCCTGGGCAAACTTTCC